GAAATGAGGCCTCCAAGCCCAGACAGCCCACATAGAGCAGAACTTAAATTATAACCTGGGTCCCCTGCTCCGTGGTCATCCTCCCCCAGAAGCCATCCATGTTCTGTGCATTCAGAACCCCACTAGTTGCATAGGTTGCTTGATCACTTTGAGCATTTCATGCCTCCCGGAAGCATCAGAATTCACTCAGGTTGAGTTAGGAGGAGACTCAAATACATCCCTGCTGTTTAGGAGAAAATTTGGGTGCTGAAGAAGGCATTTCTTGGGACCAGCAGATGGCGCAGTGGTTACATCCCTGGACTCACACACGGCTGACCACAGTTTGAATCTGAACCCAGTGGCTTGAAACTCACACCAGGCATGTGTACATGTGTGCCCAAGGTCTCAGGAGGAGAATGGAGGAGAAGGGATTGGGGTGTGGCCATTCCCCCTCGGGAGTGATTTCTCACTTTCCATCTTGCTATCATTGTCTCTCTCTCTGGCTAGCTCACATGCCCTAAAACAAAAACCTCTTAAAAAAAAAAAAATGAAAGCATTTCTTTGACTTTCAGGAGGCCTGGTCTTTCTTTCTTCCATCTTTCTTCCCCGGTAAGATCGTGAATGAACTCTGCTAACAGAATGAAGAAGTGGTAGAGCTCAGCTCCCTGCTCTGGGCTATCCTGCAGGATCCACCCACAGAAGCAGGTCTTCCCTGAGGCCCTGCTTCTTTCTGCTCATCACTTGAGTGGCAAATGGGCCCAAGCAGTCTTATTAACACGTCCTCCACAGCCGGCCACAGCTGTTCGTTTAACCTGAACCTAAGTTTCAGTGTGAATCTGGGCTTGGGCTCACAGTGTTTCTAATTTGCAGGGTTGATGAGGATTTATTTCTGAAAACTATTCCCTGTTACTCTGGAAAGCATTGACTAGGTTTCTTCATTCATTCATTCCACATTGCCTAAACCTCTGGATGCCCTAGTTAGGTGCTGGAGATACGGATAAAGGATAAATTCCCATGTTTGAGGAGTTACGGTTGACTTGCAGGAGGAAGGCTAGGTTTGGTGGCCTCCCAGAAGAGGGAGATGGTCAGAGTAAGAACAGGGCTGTGAGCGAGCTGGTAGGAGCTGCTGATCCCACTGAAGGAGAAGCACCAGGAGGAGAGAATCTAGAGGAGGTGATCCTTGAGCTGACTCCAGAAGGCAAGTAGGTGTTCACCAGAGGAGAGAGGGAGCTTTCAGGCTTGAGCAGATGTGCTTGGAAGTGGCTGGCTCTGTGGTTTAGGTTGAGGTGAGCACCCAGACTGCAGAGACAGCAGTGCTATGGAAGCACCTTGTTCTAAGGAGTCTGGCACTGAGTTTCTCGGCTGGGTAACTCAGGAGGCTGCACGGGATGCTCCCCATGGTCTTTCAGCTCTGACACTCCACGGTTCTGCTACGTTCTGACACTGGCAGGAAACATCATGGATGGTGTGTGATTTGTTGTTACTCTTTATGGAGCTTCAGGGCATGTTTGGAGTAGGATTTGTGGGGTAAATGTGTTCCACCATCACACCATGTCTGCGTTCCCCCTGAGCTCAGATGCATTGGGTACTTGGAGAAAGGTTCCGTACGATATTGAAGTTGTCTTGGATCCTAAGTAAGCTTGCCCTGACTTAGCCTGGGAGTGGGATTGTAACCTTCAGCTGGAAAGGAAGGAGCCCTCAATAAGCTACTGTAGAGGCAGGGCCTCTTTCAGCTCCAGTGCAAGAAGATAGTGCTGACCACATGCCCATCCCTGCCCAGCATGTGCCCGTCTGTCCGGCCTTGCTCAGCTCCGGCTCTGTGCCCGCACATCCACCAGTGCCCGCCTTTCGGGATGAGCCCTTCTTCCACCTCTGTCACCGGACTTCCTCAAGCCAGCACTTCCAGCCAACTGTTTTCCTGCCTTTTCTGTAATGGCTAGTACACCTCCAGTCTTTGTGAGCTGTCCGAGCATCCCCTGAGATAACAGTGACTTGGGTTGTAAATGGGTGTTTCTAGTCATCTTCCTGTATCCTGACTTTTCCCAGGACTGTGAGGAGGAGGCTTTTCAGGAATGTCAGTGTCATGTTACAGCAGAAATGCCCACACTTTACAATTCTGTAGTTGTGGGTAGTTTTTACTGTTACTTCTTCATGTGAATGTATTGTTTATTGTGAAAGAAGCCCAACTATATAAAACTGTGTAAGGTTTTTAAAGAAGATGAAAGCCTATAATTCTTCCTTCCAGAGACTCGGGGCTACCCAATTTTAACTCCTCCATAAAAGGATGCTAATTTCTATTTCCACCAGTGGTCTGCACAGCAATGTTGACTTCACCCTCGTTGGTTGTTGGTCTCAAGGATTCATGGCATGTCGAAATACAGAATGAGGGGACTTTTCCCTCCTTGACTCCTCATCAGGTGACTGCTGGATCTGCTCAGCCTCTGCAGAGTTAACTGAGAAGGCTTCTTTAAGTCATTTTTTTTCTACACAGACAATTAAAATGCTCTTTTTATAAAATTTGGTATTTTTTTTCAAGAGTTAAGGAGGAAAATTGACAGCCATGCTTTGTACTGTTCTCCACAAAACAGGCATGGGTGTCATCTCATTCTTGTTCCTAAATAAGCTTTCTAAAAATACAGTCAATCATGCAGGGCCACCTAACTATATTTGCAGTAAATTACTGGGTAATTTGAAGTGGCCACTATTCCCCAAATGTTCACTTTATATTAACTTTTTTATTATATTAAAATAATTTTCTTGTATTAAAGAAATCAAATGACCAGGACTTCTATATTCAGTTCTTTTCCTTACATTTCTTACCAGTGAGCTTGAATGTCACCAGAAGTCACTGGTAAATAGGTTTCTTTCTTTTTGCGACTTTCCTGTGTTCAGAAATAGTCATAGAACTTTTCCGCTAGCTTATTGTTTCTCAGCTTTTTGAACTTTTGATCTCTGAGGACGTTCTTAGGAAGAACTGTCTCCGGGAAACCTAGAGCTTGGCAATGCCACCTGGGGGCAGGTGTTGGTCATTGTGCTATCACGATAGAAGACGAAATCCAATGGAATGAATATAAATGCAATGTATATAAATGAAATGATCTTTTGAGTGGATGGTTATCTTTTTTTTCAGGTTGAATCTCATCAACTACAATGAGTTTTGGTCTCCAGGGTATGAAGCCTTAAGTTATTTTGGCTTTACTGAGTGAGTGTACAGCTATGATTCCTGAAACTACTGTGCTGAGATACATAGAGGCTTTTCTTCAAACACATATGCACACACCTGCACGCACACATGCATGCACACACGCACACAATCACACACTTTTACATGGGCATTGCAGTTCACAGTCACTATTGTCATTGTCATCATCTTCATTTTGTCCTGGACCTGTGCTGTGCCAGGCAAGGCTAAGCAGGTCTGAGTTCTCAGATCTCTTCTACAGCCCAAGTAGGAGGCACTTAGTACCAACGTTTTTCATGTAAGCAGCTGAAATGGCCTTTCACTAGGTATGATAGTCTGCAGCTCGCTGTTTCCCTCATGCTGCGATATGTAAGTGCTCTCTTTTCCCTTTATGCAAATCTTGCATCTTCGCCCTGACAGTGCCCAAGCATTGCATCGTGTCAACATGCAATTATCCAGGCCTCGACTGAGGGATACCTATGTCGCACCCAGTTTTCCCAGGTTGTAAATAGCATAGTGAATTTGTTGCACAAACCTATGTGTTTGCAAGTGTGGCATGTGTGCTCGCCAGAGAGAACAGAGACAGGGAGAGAGTGAGAGTGAGGAAGCAATCCCTATGGGGATGGTCACACCTCTGTCCCTTCGCCTTTGTTGCTCCATTTGGGATCTGGGGCGCACGACACATGCACTTGGTGTGTTTCTCAAGCCGCCTGGTCTGGGACATGAACCATGTAGTTAGCTATGTGGGATCCAGCCACCTTAGCCACCAAGCTACTGGCTGGTCTGAGAGTGCGTAATTTTAAGAGGTAGGTACATTAGGCCAGCCCATGGCCTGGTGACTAAGGCAAGCTGTCGCTTTCTATGCAGTGGCCTAATAAAACTATATCATGATTGTGTCCACACTCAGCTGAGGGGGTGGATAAGGGCTGCTCCTACAGCCTGGGGACTCGGGCTGTGTCTTCAGAGACATCTTCGATGCCTCTGATTCCTTCCTCAATATCTGGAACAAGAACCAGTCAACACGACGCACTCGTTCAAGTGGACAGGGTTTTTTCTAAAGCTAGAGACAGAGCCACGATAGAGCCAATTTAAACGAAGGAAATATTGGCTGGTAAAAATTAAAGTCTCTTCACAATCTAAATGATGTATAGCAATTTAATGTGTGAATAATGCTAAAAAATGGAGAAAGAAAAAAGGAAAGAAAGAAAGAGAAAGGAAGAAAATACCAAAAAAAAAAAAAAAAAAGAGAGAGAGAAAAGTTGAAAGGCTCTGCCCGATCTCTGGGTTCAGGTGGCCCAAGGTCTTGTGAAGCGTGTCGAGGTCTCCCTGTCCTTTCCTGGCTGTTTTCTTCTGGATATCGTCCATGCTGTTGCGTTCTCCCTTCCTTATTCTGAAAGGCTCTAGCCCTATCCCACCTCCTCTGAGCAGCCCTGCAAAAATGCCCACTCACTCAAGTATTTCTCGCACACCTGCCATGCGTCTGGAAATACTGCAGGCCCTAGAGATAGAGCACACCTTCGCTTGCCTCGACAGTCTTCCACTACAGTTCTAATGGATTGTGAAGTACTGGTCCTACATGGGTCACTGGCCCGACTCCAGAATCTGTGTGAGGTCCCTCAGGACTAGAGAGACTGCATTGAGCTGGAGGGGAATTCTCCTTTCAAAGGAGAGCCCGCTGCAGGGGGAAGAAAGGGTGCCTTAAGCAAACTCAGATGCTGTCCAGCACCCGAGGGACTCCCTGGTTTGCAGTTCACCCAGCTCTGTGGGTCTCTGCTCCCCTGGACCCTGCTCAGCCCTTGCCCCACAGTCCCAGCCTTGCTGACACACGACTTTTTTGCAGCTCCAGATGAAGATGAGTGAGCGGGCCGCCTCGCTGAGCACCATGGTGCCCCTGCCCCGCAGCGCCTACTGGCAGCACATCACACGGCAGCATAGCACGGGACAGCTCTACCGCCTGCAAGGTGAGTGCAGGCCACCAGGGGCAGTGGGCGCCTGGGGCGGTGGGTGTGGACCCTCCCTGGGCCTGAGGAGGGGCTGGGGCTCATGCCATCGCCCGGCCGCATTGGTTAGTCTCGTTTCTCCCAAGGCTAGGGCCCCCTCCAACTTCTCAGCTGGGGGAGGTATTTAATCTCAGAGCCCTGGTTCTCACCTATGTGCATCTATCACAGAGTCCTGGGCTGCTATCCCCAGAGGTTCAGGATCCTACCGTGTGGGGTGAGACTGAGCACTATTTTACCCGTACCCATGGACTGGGCCAGGCCCTGGTTCCTGCTGGACCCAGGACTAATGCCATCAGCAGTGCTGGGGAACCAGCTAGAAATGTACTTTTGGACTCCTCCCCGACCCACGGGCTCAGGAACTCTGAGGGCAGGGCCAGCACCTGTGTGAACAGGCCCTCCGGGTAATTCTCAGTTAGGAGCCCCTGTTCTGGGGGATCATGGTTCGACTGTGTGGTCCTTAGCAAATCCTGTAAGCCCTTCTTCCAGGAAAGTGGTTTCTGAAGCAGACACAAAAGAGCCCCCTGGGGAGACAACAAGGGGGACAATTAAAAATTCCCCTTCAGGCTCAACTGGGATCACATGCGGCTTGATTTCTCTGCTCAGCAGGCTGAGGCCAGTGGGAGGCCAAGGTTCAATTCTCTGCCCACCCTAAAAGCCAAGTATGATGGCGTGTGGCTGTGGTCCCAGCTACTGGGGAGGCTAAGGCAGGAGGACTGTGATCTATCAGACCTTATCTAAAAAACAAACAAACGAAACAAAAAAAAAAGCCCTTTTTAAAATTATTCTTTTAAAAGTATTTTTTAACATTTTGGGACCAGCAGGTGGCATGGTGGTTAAGGTACTGGACACTCCCACATGGCTGACAGCAGTTTGAGTCCTTCACCTGGTGGCTTGCTTTCTCACCCCCTCCCCCATCTCTCTGGTCAAATTAAAATAAATGAATGAATATATAAATTAAATAATTCTTTAAAATTTCTTTTAAATTAAAAAAATAAATTTAAAAAGTGTCTTTTAACAATTTACAGTACATGAGAGTGGCTGGTACATATTTAATTTATATATAAACAGACAAATGTATATGGGGTTCTTATTGAGGAATTTTTTGGCACCCTTCTCCCCCCCAAAAAAGCCCAAAACGCCTGCTCAACTCCAGGTCTCACCTCTGCCTCTTAGACTCCCAGGAAGCTCTCCAGGCTTCTTATAGCGAGTGTGGACTCTGATTATGTGCGCTCAGGAGATAAGATGGGGACCCCTCTTCCATGGGCCTCATCCTAGTCATCATTTCATATCCAGTCATGTGGCCCCTTAGCTCCTGGATCCCCCTTCCAGCGAGCAAAAATGTTTAGGAGGGCGAGAAAACCATGCCTCCTTTTAACCGTTATCACTTTAACCACAGTGTCTGGCATGGTGTACCCGTCCCACGAGTGTTTGTTGACAGACTATATGACATTGAGAAGGCACAGAGGGTCTATGCATTCAGCTTTTATGACTCTGTGTCCTATTCGCCAGCAGAGAGCCTGGCACATAGCAGATGCTGCAAAAATTGATCCCGAGGGCCTGGATGAGTAGCTGAGTGGAGACTGGATTAGTTCTGCTTGTCACAGATGCCATTTATTCGTACTGTGCCTGCAGACATTTCTCTGGAATTTGACTGGTATTACCTGTTTCCATCTCTCTGGTGTGTGTGTGTGTGTGTGTGTGTGTGTATATATATATTTTATATATATATATATATATATATATATATATGCCACTTAGACACTTATTCACATTTATTCAGTTTCTTCTTAAATACATTTATTGTTTTAAAAGAACATATGTTTTACTATCTTTACACCATTATAGCCACTGGCCATACTTTTAAAAAAATTTTACTTTATTGGGTCATTGGAAAAATGATGCATTTTTGCATAGAAAAGCATAGGAAACAAATCATGACTTTTTGGATGGCTCAATATTTATTGATAGAGAAAGAGAGAAAGTCAGGTACCCTTGACAGTGCTGGGTCACTCCATCTTTCTTCCACAGTCTCCCAGCTAGCCAGGATGGCCGTGGGTACATGTGTGTACTAGGTGTGTCCAGGTCAACCCAGGATCTGAACCCAGCTGCCCACGTGGCTTCAGTACTGGGCAATGGCACCCTGCTGCCAGCACCACCATGGCCAATCCACTTACACCTTTCTGATAAACAATCAAGAATTATAGACGGTGTAAAATGTCACCACCTACCTGAAATGACCCTACTTCTCAGAGACAGCCTCTTATACAGGTAAACGGGAGAACAGAGTTGATCTACTCGTCACCTACACACCTGCCTCCAGTCCCTCCTCCCCCTCCTAGGGGAAAACAGGATTGGGAAAAGTCAATTGCATGGAGACTCTGAGTGGGCGCCTTTTTTGCTGGTGTTTATGGGTTCCGATTCTCCTGGCCCATTTAGCCACTTGGTGGATTTCAGGCTGACTTTTTCTGGCAGATCTGGAGGTTAATCTTGGAAATCATACCAACACTTCTGCGAGTGTTTATCAAATAGGTTTGAGAGGATAGCTCCTCCGCAAATTTAGTCCTCGAGAGCCATCTGCTGGTTCATTTTGGAGTTGTCATTTCATGACTGCTTTTGGTTGGGGGCAAAGGAGGTGTTGGTTTTGACACATGCCAGAGTCACTAGGACGTGTTTAATCTACCTTCAACCTTCTCGCACTCCGTTTTCCAGTCTTCTTGTAAAGATTCTCTTCTCTGATTAGGCAGATGCTGAGTCAACATGTGAAGGAGGTTTATCATGAAAACTGGAAGAAATTCATCTTGTTTAAATCAAAGTTGTGCAAGTTGATTTGAGCACGAAAGCCCTCCTCTACTTTCTTTTTAAAAATATGAACAAATGTGAATGTACCACCAACAAAGCGCCAAAACCATGAGTTTCATCCTTATAAAGGATACAAGCTGTTTAATCCATGTCTTGTTAAAAATGACCCTTTCTGAAGACCTACTGTGCACCAGCTTTTGCATCAGGTGCTTAGATCTCACTTAGATCTCAAAACAGCTACCTGAGAGAGCACTTTATTCTCACTTGCTATTTACAAAGTGAGGATTTGGGGAGCAGCAGATGGCATTAATGGTTACGTGCCTGGATTCCCACATAGTTGACGGTGTTTCGAGTCCTGGATCCAGCGGCTTAAAAGTCAGGCCAGGCGTGTGTGTGTGCATGCCCAAGATTCCAAGAGGAGAAGGGAAGGAAAGGGATTATGGTGTGGCCATCCCCCTGGGGGGTGATTTCTCACTTTCTGTCTCTCTGGTGAGCACACACACCTTGTCACCAAAAATCTCTCTTAAAAAAAAAAATGAGGATTTGAAGGGTTAGTAATGTGTCCAGCATTGTAGTTAGGGTTTTAAGGTTTTCATTTCTCTGTTCATTCTTCTACTCGTTAATTTACCTGATCAATGTCTATTGAGCATCTGTCTGAAGCCACGTGTGCTCAGGCGTGGACACAGACTGGGCTGCTAGGCAGGCGAGCTTCGCCCCTTGGGAATCTCATGATCGAATGGGGAATCACAGTCAATAAGCAGCCCTGTTTAATTGCAGATCTGGTCCATGTCATAGTGGAAGAGAAGTGCTTAGAGTGGAGAACTCCAGGTCTGACTCCTAGACCAGAGCGTTTTTATTCTCATGTGGCCTGGCCTGTGGGAGGACAGCCTGCTTATGCTGGTGACCCAAAGACATAAGCCCCGAGGGTGAGATGTCCCAGAGGATTGTTCCCAGCCCCTGCAATTTACATAGTTACTTGAAGGATGAAGGATTCTTGGAGCAAGCGGCTACCATACAGAAGTTAACATGGTCTTTTCAACATTCATTCTAACACGGTCACGCACACAATTAAGACAGACGTCATAGATGAAGGTCTGAGCATGTGGGAGAGGTTGGCCGACTAGCCATGGGCTCAGACTCACATGTCTGCAAGGTCTAGGCAGGACGTGCTGTGGTCGAAGCCGGCTGGGAACGGGGTGCAGGAGGTCCTGGAGAATCGGTAGAGGGCAGCGGTCACACTGTGGGGGGTGGGGTTCAGGGTCAGTTTCGCCTTCCAGTTTTTAAGTGAACCGGGAAATCGATCTCTTGGGGGCGACATCTTTGTGGGGAGCCTGCAGTTATTTAAATATTGACGAGCAGTTCCAAATGGTTTATGAGCCAGTGCAGCCCAGAGAGCAGGCCCCAGGCCCCACGGGGTCCACAGGCCAGTGCCCACATACGACCTGCGTGTGGACTGCAGCCGTGTGAGAGTACCTGGAGAGCTTTTCAGTCCATCCCTGGCCTTAAGCTAAGTGCACTATTCCAGCTGCGCTGGAAAGATTCCGTTGGGCAGCCTGATAGGGGCCGACAGGGTTGTCACTGTGACTTGAGCTCCGGTGAACGCTATCACTTCTCTTGCAAACTGATAGGAGTTTAAAGAGCTCGAGTGGAAGGTACAGGCGAGGGTTTGGCTGGTAACTGAAGATTTGAACTTTGTGTGAACACTATTTATGTTCTGGCTGCCCCCTGCAGGAAGTTTTTATCGAACTGTAATAAAGATACACATGGATTTTTGCTTATAGTAAAAATAAAACCCATTAGTATAATTTCTTGACGTGTGTTTGTGTGTGCACCAGAAAGAGGAAAGAATACCTTCAAACTGGCCAGGAGTTTGGAAGAAAGGATCTCTAGTCATTTGGGGTGTTTGATATTTAAGACTTCGCTAATAACGATCATTACTACTGTGTGCCAGGGCTGGGCGACCACGTATGTCTTTTTTTTTTTTTTTGGTTCAGATTTGAGGCTCATTAATATCTGAATCTATGATTTTCTTTTTATCTGTTTTTGTTTTGGTGTTGTGACCATAGTAACTTGACTTCTCTTTCCGTTTCTTTTATTCTTCAATGATTCTGTGAAAGTGGGAAATGAGGCCAACGTTAGTTTTTTTTGCCCAAGTTCACGCTTCTGGTAGGAAGATCAGATGGAAGTCCGATGGAGGTCTGACTGGTCAGACCGTCTGTGACACCATAAGCGAGCATAAGCTTAAGGCGTGAGGGCCACATGGCACCGTGAGCCCTCAGTCGGTCTGGTGTTTGAAGCTAGTGGGGCCGAATGCTGCAGGTGGGCGTGTGTGCTCCACGAGCCCCAGCCCTGTCTCCCCGCACCTTAGTCCCGCTTGGCCCCCACGTTTAGTCCCTGATGCAGCCGTACTCAGTTGTGCAGGTCTTCCTCCACTGGGTCTGAGTGCTTCACACAGCAGGTGCACACTGTGGATGGTGGCCGATGGTAACCTAGCCAGCAGATGGCAGTAAAACTTCTCGTTTTTATAAAACCAAGGGAGTATGTCCGCAGGGACTGGCAAACTGGCTTGTGGGACAAATTCAGGCTGCTGTCTGTGTTCACTAATAAGATGTTATAGGGGGTAAGCTGGTGGCATAGTGGTCAAGGCAACTGGATCCCACACAGCTATGGTGCAGTTCAAGTCCCGGATGTGGTGGTTTGTAAGACACACTGGGCGCATGTGCACGTAGGCCTGAAATCCCGAGAGGGGAATGGAGAAGTGATTGCTGCATGGCCGTCACCCTGCAGCAGGGCGCTTCCTCACGTTCCCTCTCTCTCTGTCTTTCTCTGGTGAGTGCATGTGCCACACAGCAAAAACCTAATAAATAAAGGAAGTTTTATTGGAACACACACACCCATTCATTATGTATATATCTATTTATACATTGATTTATGTCCTTTTTTTGTATATTTAAACATTTATTTATTTACCTGTTTGTTGTGATTTTCAAGCTGCCAGGTCTAGGATTCGAACCACAGTCAGCCATATGGGAATCCAGCGCCTTAGCCACCACACCAGTTGGCCCCCATTCACTATATATTAACTGGCTGCCCTTGTGCCACCCACAGCAGCACGGAATAGTTGACGATGAAACCATGCGGGCTGCAAAACCTAAAATGCTTTGCTTTTGACCCTTCGTGCCACAAGTTAGCCAACCCCTCTGTCATGACATAAAGGAGTCAAATGGTGGCCTAGCGTGTCACCTTTTTGATTTTGCTTGGTTTGGAACCTAAACCTAAAATAAAACAAGGCCAACTAAATTTTAGGATGTAAGGTTTTCAGAGTATCCATGGGCCAGTTTCCACCTCATCTTCCCTAAATCCACTGCCCATAGGGGTCGCTGCAGATGAAAAATTAAGCAAAAACAAAAACAAAAAGCCACCTGCGGATGGACTGGCCCCAGTGCAGTGCAAATATATGTCCCACGCAAAGGATATGTTAATCCCTGAGTCTCTCCTGACTCTTATTTGCATAGCACTGTGCGTGGCCTTTGGAAAAAACTCCTGTGTGGTGAGTACGTTACTTACTGTGTTCTATGGAAACCTGTCACTAATTTGTGAGATTTCTTGCAATGTAATGATTGCTTTTAAATATTCCTTTTGGAAAGATGTCACCAGCCCTCTGAAGCTTCATCGGACAGAGACTTTTCCTGCCTACCGATCTGAGCACTGACAGGAACTGCCAAGAATTGTGACCACACCTCCTGTGACATGCCAGCCACAGAGCCACGTAGGAGGTCCCAGGATGGCAGCGAGGGAAGCCATGACGGAGAGAAGCAGCTACGCGTCCTGGCTTCATTGTGCGGTCACTGGGAAGTTTTGCAATACAATTTCTTTCTTCTTCTTCTTTTTTGTTTTTTAAGTCTCAGCATAATCTGAACATGCTCTACAGGTACTTTTTGTTTCCTCTTTTACAGCTGGACAGAGAGGAGTCAATGCCACACAATGATTTTCTATTGTAGATACCATGTCCCTTGCCCTTCTCTGATTTTTGTGGTTCTTGTGATTTTTTTCCTTCTCAGTGTTTCAATTGTATGATGGTCAGAATCGACAATAAAATGACTCTGAATTATTTGTCACTTGTTTACACCGTATTCCTCAGTTACTAGTACTGTAGTGCTGGCTAACTACTGGAGATGGTATTGGATTATATTACCAATTAGTTAAATCAGTCTTTGCCTCACCCACAATGTTCAGAAACGCCCTTTCCAAGGACCCGTTAGTATTGTTTACAGGGTTGCGGTTTTCTTCTCAGATGCTCTCAGATCTGTGCCCCACCCTTTTTTAAAGCCTTTATTTTGTTTGGAGTACCTTCATAAAAGCAAAATAAAAGATTATTCTTCACCCATATGGCCTTTGGTTTTCGGCAACGTGATTTTCTCTCTATCTTCAGTAGTTTTGAAGGGTGTGTGAAGATTTTGCTCCTGAGCACTGAGCATGGTTTGGAGTTGCATTTGATTTAAATCCAACCATTGATGCATTTCCCCATTCTTTCTTTAAGCTGGTCTATACTGAAGATCTATGCGCTCCAGGCACTGGAATCCAGGTACACCGAGCTGAAAAGACACAAGCCCTATTGCCCAGGACGTTAATTCCAGATTAATATGACAAGCAATTAAAGCTGCAATTATGGGAGACCAGCAGTTGGCGGAATGGCTGTGTCACTAGACTCCCATGTCATCGACCATGGTTCAAGTCCCAGACCCGATGGCTTAAACTCATGCCGGGCATGTATGCGTGCATGCCCAAGATCCCCAGAGGAGAATGGAGGAGAAGGGATTGTGGTATGGCCATCCCCCATGGGAGATAATTTCTCGCTTTCTGTCTCTCTGTCTCTCTCTGGCGTTCTGACAAGCGCACGCGCCCTATAGCAAAACCTCTCCAAAAAAAAAAAAAAAAGAGCTGCAATTATAAGATGGAGCAGGAGTGACACCTGCTGCCTCCCTCTGTAGTAATAGATGTCTAAAGAGAAGGTCTCTTGGTTCCCCTAGCTTTCTCACTGGGAATAAACCTGCTCGGAATCGAACCTTGTAAATATCTGAAATTAGAGTTTGTGTAAACCTGGGCCAGACAGGAGGGGTGTTATCTGGCTGGTTGACTACTCTAAGGGGTCTGTCTGCAAAGACCTCATGGGAAATGCATATGATGAAAAAACTACATGATGATTTCAAAAGTTTTTATACCAAAATAACTTGGAGTTTTGTTTTTTCTTAAGAGAGATTTTTGCTATAGGACATGTGTGCTTGCCAGAGAGACAGGTGAGAAATCACCCCCCCAGAGGGAATGGCCACACTGTAATCCCTTCTCCACTCTCCTCTTGGCATCTTGGGTACATATGCACATGCACCCAGCTTGAGTTTTAAGCCGCCAGGTCTGGGACTCCAACCACGATCAGCCATGTGGGAGTCCAGTGTTGTAACCATTATGCCATCTGCTGGTCCCAATAATTTGTGCTTCAGTTTCATTTACCAACAAATATTTTGTAGGTTTGCCAGATAAAATGGAGGATACCCAGTACACATGAATTTCAAATAAACACATACAGTTCTGTATTGTATGTCTGATGTAGTGCGTGGGACAGGGTTATGTTGAAAAATGTTCATTGTACAGCTTAAATTCAAACTTACCTGGCTGGCCTGTATTTTTCTCTGCTAAATCTTATTCTCGGGCCTTAAAAGTACTCCTGGCACCTTGCTCAGACTTGATAACTATGCATTGAATGGATAGATGAATAAATTCATATCTTTGCGATGGAATTCTTTCTCTAAGGGGAAGGAAATTAACACTGAGTGTGTCCTTTCTCTGTGCCAAGCCCTGGGCAAGGTCCTTCCAAAAGCATTATTTTAACCAGAAAATATTCTGTGTTTTCTGGGGGAAAAATGAATTTTGTTAAGCTCCAAGAAAGGGCCCTAAAAGGCTCATTTTTACTTGTGCTCCATCCAAAAAGTGCATACTTCCCCAAAATACAGATCAACACTGATTAGCTCCCAAAGGCCCTGCTGAAGTCCAAGTTTTCCAGACTGAATCCTTTCAATCTGAGACAGCTGGATTTCCAAAGACGTTGCTGGTCTCAGAATGTGCTGTTCTCAGGCTGGGAAATAGTGGGGACAGGAAGATTGGATTCAGTAACAGTTAGTGGATTAGTGCTATCAAAATGGTTTCATGCTAATGGTTTAACTGGAGTGCATCTGAGCCCTCTCTGGGTGCTAATGTGCCCAAGCTCTGGTTCCTAATAAATGGTAGGCTCACATTTGAACACAGGCGGTCTGATACCTGAACCTGCACTGTAAATCTCCAATATAGGCTGCTCCAGGAGCGATCCAACTTCTGTAAACAGAGTGTAAATATTTGAGGCCTTGTGGGTCATGTGGTTTCTGTTGCCCTCTAGTGCAAATGCTGCCCAAACAATTCCGAGAGCATAGATGTGTTCCAATCAAACTTTATCCACAAAAACAAGTCACAGACTGGACACACCCACAGTGTGGTTGCCAGCTGCTGCCCTAGAAAGCAAGAGCATCAAGTCCAGGTTGAGTATTTCTGATACAAAAAAAAACCAAATTGGGAATGTTCTGAAATTCTACAGTTTTTGAGTGCTGATGTGATGCCACCAGCGGAAAATGCCACACCTGACCTTGTGTGACCACAGGTTGTAGTCCAAGTGCTGCAACACAGAAATAGTGTATAAAATTACCTTTAAGTCATGTGTAGAAGATGTACATAAAACATCAATGAGTCTTCTGCTTAGATGTGAGTCCCACCAACAAGATAGCTCATTAGGGATCTGCAAATATCTGGGACCAGCAGTGGTGTAATGGTTACATCTCTCTGCTCCCGCAGAGTCGACCACAGTTTGAGTCCTGGACCCAGTGGCTTAAAACTCAGGCTGGGTGTGTGTCCATGTGTGCCCAAAATGCTAAGAGGAGAATGGAAGAGAACTGATTGCGGCATGTTCCCCCACCAAGGTGATTTCTCGCTTTCTGTTTCTCTCTCTCCAGCAAGAGCACTTGCCCAATAGCAAAAATCTGTCTTTAAAAAAAATTAAAAAAAAAAATGTGTATACACACACACACACACACACACACACATGCAAATATCTTCCACCTCCCACAGGAAAACTGAAAATCCAGAACACTTGTGACCCCAAACTTTCGTGTAAGGATGCTCAACCTCTATTACCTTTCGTTTGTTCCAGGTTTTCGGGTAGAAACCATGAGAAATGTGAACACTTGAACACTTTCATTTCTGGCTTTAGATAAGGGGAAAGGTGATTTGAAGTGAGTTTGATTTTTCTTTTTCTATATCCCTGACACAAGTGGTGAGGGTACAAATGTGGGAAAGAGGGAAGCAGTTCACACGAGGACACCACTCGGACTTCAGGGCGCTCCTGCTGCCTTCGCAAACCACCTGGAATCTGGAGGGTACTGATGAAATTTTCCTTGGCCGTAGTTGAAGTGTAATTATTTCCTGGGGAAAGCAACACGAGAGCAATCTTGGAAGGCGAGATAGGCAGTAAGGGAGTATATGGCGTGTTCCCCTGGGTGCGCTCAGTCAGTGTTCAGAAGATTTTTACCCAGTCTCGGGCAGAATAATGAAGTAGTTACTGAAATGCCATCTAGAGCAAGACTGCTTGAGTTTCGGAAGTTTTTTCATTCATTACCAAGTATTTACTCCTGTCACCATGAGCAGCCCGGGTTGTGTGGTAGGGTGAGAATAAAGATGCCCGCTTTCACCAGGTCCAGGAGGCCAAGTGAGGAAGCCAATTGCTCAGGAAACAAAACACTAAAGGCATGCATTCGCATACACAGACATTTTACTATTTCTTCCTAGGACCATCTTGACTTTTGAGAGGGGGGATACTGTACTAACTCTTAACAAAGAAAATCCTTTCTTTTTGCTATGGTTTGAATATGTACCGCCCCAAGATTCATGTTTAAAATGTGGTGAGCTATGATGTAGGTCCTGAGAGGGAAGAGATGCAATCCAATTGTGGTGCTGAGAGGTGGGGCCTGTGGGAAGGAATTAGGTATCGGGGTGAACCTCGCTGCCTTGACGGAATCCTGGTAGGTTTATAAAGAGGGACAGACAGACTGCTCTGCTCAAGCTCCCGCCCTCCACCACACTGTCCATCAGCACAAAGACCCTTCCCAGATGCAGCCCCTGGGTCTTCATCTCCAAACCATGAGCTGAATAAAGCTCTGCTTCTGTAAGTTACCCAGAGTCAGGGTGTTTCCTGTTATTAGTACCAGGATAGACTAGAACATTTTTTTAAATTATTTAATTTTATTCGTTGTCATTATTTTGTTTTTATTTTATTGAAGTTGACCACAGAGAAATAAAGAGAGAGAGAGAGAAATAAAGTGAGAAAGCAAGCTACCAGGTCCAGTACTTGAACCACGGTAAGTCACGTGGGGGTCCAGCTGCCTTAACTACCATGCCACTTGCTCGCCCCATAGACTAGAACATATATAGACCCAGAAAAACACAGCCATTTGCAGACTTCATCAAGATGGCAAGTTCAGTATTTCCCTGGCATATTGCAGGGTTAGGTTCCACAGTTTAAATGCTGGGTGAAGGTGAGGCTGTTCACCACCTGGTAGAAGTCGGCCACCAATTTCAGTGCAGATGCACTGGGCTCACCTGCTGTGATTCGGCTCAGCCTAGGCAGGGCCAGTGGTAACCGTTTGCCTGCATCAGTGCTAATAAGGTGTCACGGCCCACTGCCGTGCTGGCAGCTAGCAGTACTCAGGTGTTGGCAAAAGTTGCTTGTGCCATAGATCTCGGGTGGAGTCCCTGAACCTGTTCTCCATCAGTATCTCTGGGTCATTGCAGTGCAGGTGGTAAATGGTATCAAATCCCGTTTTAAGAAACCTCAAGGCAGACATTGAGAGGATGCGCCCCAGGTGAGGCCACACCTGGTGGCAGTGGGAAAAGGGGTCCCATCCAGGTTCCGCGGGAAGTCCGCTGAAGAGCCGGATGGCGGCAGCGAGTGGGGTGTTGAAGATGCTTCCCTGCCAGGAGATGCGGGAATTCCGTCACTCAGGTACCGTGTGCTCCTGTGCGTGGGCTCTGCGCGGCGGGGAGAGATGTGAGTGTGCTTTGGAAGTGAGCTCCTGTGTGGCGTTTCGGTGCCTCTGCAGGATTTTTTGTTGCTATAACAACTAATAAGACTTGGTTTGACCTTCTTTGTTTCTCTGAGATGCTTGAAATGCAGGGGCTTCCCACACTGCTCTTTTTAATGGGAAAAAGCCAGCCAGGATCTGCTCTTGAGAGCAAAGTGCAGTCCGGCCAGGCCAGGGCAGGAGCAGGGTGGGAGTCCAGTGGCTGTTGCTAATGAGTCGCGCT